GTATAAAGGAAATATTTAGAATAAAGCCAATATATAAACTTCCTTTCCGTATAGACGTATTTACGTCAAATTCTCCGGAACCGTGGTTCCGCTGACAATTTTTTTGGTAATATTAAATATCTAGTACCCAAATTGTCCACTTGTTATAGATAAATTTGTTATTTTCATTGTTTTGAGCTGTTGAAAGTGGTTCTTTTTTAAGGTTTAAGCCTTCTTATAAGAAATTTGATTGGAATTGAGTGTCATATTTCAGTTTATGTCCGATGTTAATGATATGAATTATTTAAAAAAATACAAGAACACCGTAAATCAGAGGGAATAAAATGTATTGCAGGGTAGTATGGAGGCTGATAGACAAGTAAGCTCTGTGACAAATCAATAAATTATTCTAATATGTGACAGAGGTCGGAGATCGATCTGGTAGGTTGCAACAAGGTTACCTTGCATTCGTGATGTATAGCCTGTTGAAATTTTATTCAGCTAATCCTGACTGAAACGTTTAGTAATTTTTCTCTGTCGCTCTGAGCTGGTGCCGGAATTTTTGAAATAGGTCACGACCGACTCTTTCCAAGATTTTAACTATTTACATTCACGATAACCATGTCTTATTTGAAACTATATATATGTAGAAACTTGGGTAGCCTTAACCTCTTTTATTTATTTATTTATTTAGTGTTCTGTCTGACGACAGGTCCATATGAACAGGATCCTTCCATCCTTTTCTCGGACTGGGACCTGTTCATATACGTTCTTGGCAGATGATCCAGAAGTGGTTTGCTATTGCCTTCTTCTGTGTGTGAATGGAGTAATTGTTGGGATGCCACGGAGGAAAACTCCGTGTTGCCTAGACCACGGCCTTGCCTAACACCTCTACAACAGATTAATTTTTCTATCTCCCATAAATGTTTTGCATGACTTAATAATATATAATTTCATTTCTAGGTTATGTCTGCGCGTTTTATATTTCTCACCCAGTCCAGACGTCAAATTCGATTGTTATTATTAATTTGTCGGAGACTTAACGAAACTTGACCTCTACCATTATCTTTTATATGTTTTCACGTGCTTTGAATACATGCATTGTTCCCTGCGTCCTTTCAAAATATAGCGGTGCTTCTTTGATGCGTTTTATGTCAATCTTCAAATATTTTTTTAGTCCTTTTATGTGTACGTCGTGCAGATGACACTTCGGTTATTTCCGGGTATCTTCGTATGACCAGCGCCGGCTCTGCACTCACGATCGTTCCCTCTCTGTCTGGGCAGTCGGCACTTGTTTTGTTTTTTTTGTACATTCTCCACTGCCTCCTGGAGTCCTCTTCTTTTATGTCAGTCGCGTTTCGAATGCTGACGTGGTAGGCCGTGCTAGAAACGCATTTCGTTCCGCTTATGTTTTTCCGCGTGTGTTTTGTTGTTTTTATGAACTGTGAAGCTCAAGTGTTTATAGGAAGAGTTGGAGTTTGTTTTTAAGTGAGTTGAAATTTATTGTGATGAATTGAAATGCTGTCTTTATAGAAGAACGGGGATTGTAGTTCTAATGTCGAGTGGTATATTAATCAGGAAGTGTTTACATATTCGATATCTGGGATAATTTTATTTGAAAACACGGTGATATTTTATGGTACACGTAAAATGCGCTGTTTACGTACAATTTTATAAACAGGTGTTAAAATGAATTCTTCAAAAAAAATGTCTGTTTCCCGTTGATGATATTAGATGAGATGTATTAGACGAAAGTAGAATAAGTGTTTAATTCTAGCTTTTTACCAAATTGACTATACAGTTTAAAACGCAGACACTGTTCTCGATTATGTTATTAGAGACTTGTCCTGACGCGTAACATATCTGTTCAGATGACCTCTTGACCCTCGTCGCAGTGGCCTTGAATGCAGTCAATGGATTGTGAGTTACGTGATTTTCTGATTTACATAACAGACGTTTTATCCGGAAAATACGTTCAAATGAGTAATATAGTCTTTTATGTATTTCTATTCGAGATAACCTTCAAATAAATTCAGGTTGTCTTCATAATTTGTCACTAGACTTTGTCAATTAAGGCGACTAATGTTCAATTTGTAAAAGTCGAAAGAAGAAATTATTCTCAGTGCATTTTAATGTATTAATGTCTGTCACGGGAAAAAGTTTGTAACGCGGTTTACGTAAAGTGGAAGTTGCCACGAAAACGTCTCCATATTGACGTCCCCAAGGACGAACCTCGAGCGCAGGGGAGTTGACTACCATCTGAAACGTTTTTTTTTGGCTTTACTCCAAAATACAGGTTTTTATTAACTACGTTCTTATATTTATACAGAGTTAAATTCTTATATTATGTTACTTAACATCCCGATTTAAAATGACGCGTTGTTTAGATAATTCAGATTTCGTGTTCCTTCGCATTTAGAAGGGTGAGGTGGCGCCCTTCACGTATATAAAAGCTGCTTACAACATACCATGCCCGCTACATTTCTTTTCCGCCGCGACTCGTAATTATCGCAAGTTCCGACTATAACCTGTCATAGTAAACCGGTTAGATCTGTCTTCAGCGTCTTAAATTTACTGCGAGGAATATGTTTTTCGTCTTAGCTGCATCGGCTTTCGATATGTCAGTGAACACGAGGCGTAGTTTTATAACTTACGTAATAATTGAGACGAGTTTTCAGAACCAAATCTTGGCACTGCTTACCACAAATAATTATCAATGTATTTCTAGGTATTTTTTTTTCCCGGCGGGTTGTTATATAATTTGTATTTTTATAATTGAAAAATTGTTGAATTGTAGAAGAATACGATTTGCACTTGTAATGATGGAGATTTATATGAAAAAAGTGTATAAATCCGCAAAATAAAATTAGTTTTGATTATGTTTTCGCCCCAGATTAGGCCCTGTCATTGTGTTTTTGGTTTAAACTTTATCAAACCGAGTACGTAGCTCAGCGTCGAATTATAGAATGATTGAGCGATAGAATAGGTTGATGTCGATATCATCAGTCGTGTGACATTTTTATGGATTATCGCAGCACACGCCAAAGACTCAGAGAATCTCTGGGACGAAATTTGAAGCCCAGAGCTCTGGAATACGTTCGGCTCCAGGTATTTTTTTTTTAAATTTCCAGCTTTGTTGTTTTAAAAAAATTATCTTAATACAAATAGACTGTTAGTATGAAGATATCCGTCTTCTGGGTTGTTGCGCTGTGTAGTCCGGTCGATGTTAACCAACGTTTCAGAGGTCGTACTGCCTCCATCATCAGGGCGATGAGTATGAAGATTTCTGTCTTCTGGGATGTTGCGCTGTGTAGTCCGGTCGATGTTAACCAACGTTTCAGAGGTCGTACTGCCTCCATCATCAGGGCGATGAGTATGAAGATTTCTGTCTTCTGGGATGTTGCGCTGTGTAGTCCGGTCGATGTTAACCAACGTTTCAGAGGTCGTACTGCCTCCATCATCAGGGCGATGAGTATGAAGATTTCTGTCTTCTGGGATGTTGCGCTGTGTAGTCCGGTCGATGTTAACCAACGTTTCAGAGGTCGTACTGCCTCCATCATCAGGGCGATGAGTATGAAGATTTCTGTCTTCTGGGATGTTGCGCTGTGTAGTCCGGTCGATGTTAACCAACGTTTCAGAGGTCGTACTGCCTCCATCATCAGGGCGATGAGTATGAAGATTTCTGTCTTCTGGGATGTTGCGCTGTGTAGTCCGGTCGATGTTAACCAACGTTTCAGAGGTCGTACTGCCTCCATCATCAGGGCGATGAGTATGAAGATTTCTGTCTTCTGGGATGTTGCGCTGTGTAGTCCGGTCGATGTTAACCAACGTTTCAGAGGTCGTACTGCCTCCATCATCAGGGCTGTGAGAACCTCAAGTCTTACAGACTGTTAGTAAACATCGTAACTTCTAATATAGGCTTGTGTTTATAATGCCAAACATGTTTCGAGCAGTTTTATGGGTACTGTTGACAGGAAACTCGTTTCTAAACCCAAGAAATTAATACGTCTGATTGTCTGTTTCCGAGCTGTTTTTAATCACTTGCGTCTACTTTAGGCATGGTTTTAAAATGAGGCCTCTTTAGCGCATGGATTGTTATTGCAATGAATAAACATTTTCGTCTTGTTTATGACCTGTGTCTACAGTGATGATATGACGTCACGTGCTGACTGATTTTGTCGTCTGTCTTTTGTTGTGTTTCGTGTTCAATATTATGTGATTCGGTACTTAGATTCAAGAATCAAGCCGTAAATACTCCATTAATGAGTGATATGTCTTAGGTGTTCGTGGATATCTTTCTTGTACTTTTAACATTCACGGATTCGCTGCTTTAAAAAAAAATATATACATATATATACATTTTTATAGATTTTTCTGTAAAGTTACAGAAATAAAAGGGTGTTTGTATGGCTCTTAATAATTAATAGCCCTACAAATGTTAATAATTCTTAAAAAAAAAAGCAAAATGATTAAAGTTTAAAGTAATTGTAATTATTAATCGTGCGTAAGTTTACGAATGAATTAACGTTAGGTTTTTACCAAGATAACGAAGTTTATTATTTGATTATGGGATCTGGGTAGAAGGCGTGTTACATGTGCTAGACCCGCCCTGTCGGTCGTGGGTTGACAGAATGAACTCGGAGGAGCTAATGCAGGCTTCAAAGCACCACGAAAGACGTAGAACAGAGCGTTAAATTTATTTATACGTTTGTGTGCCTGAGTGAATTTACAAGAACACGTGCTATAATAGCCAGAATTGTAAACAGTCAAACTCTAAGCGACGAAAGACGAATGTCATGGCTGTTCCTCGTTCCCTTTGATTGTGACACTTTACGGTGGCTCAATCGATAACCACAGGCAGGTGTAAGTTTTGTTGTCCAGGGATATACAGGGTGTACCAGAAAGACGTATACACAAATTCAGTGAATGAAATAGACATTTTAATATATGTCATCACTGGTGCTTAGTGGCACAGTTGAAAAAGGTGAGCAACGAACTTACAAGGTTAATATTCGTTGTTATAATGTATTGGGACATTCTGTATGTCCTCCTTTCAAATTACGCACAATGACCTGTTTTTGTTTTCATAAAATTTTAGGATGTGATTTTTTTTTAAAAGGAAGTGAGGTGTTGTATGGTTCTTACACTTGCACAGTATTAATATAGCAAGAATATGCATTGAAATATCAAACATTATACAACGTCAGTAACGGACATCAAAATAATGTGTTTTAATCTGTTTTTGGACAAGAAATATTATTTTTATTACTGAAAATAGGATTATAATTTATGTAAATGGGTGTGAAACTTGGTTTATCACAGGGGAACAAATGGAGGATATAGTGTAATGTGAAGTAATGTCTATGTAGTTTCGTTGCTGATAAGAACACAGCCCAGCAAACTATATTTTTATTTTAATGACACGTTTACATAACAATATTACAGTTCTTTATAGATCTCTTGACAACAGTTTGTGTAAATCTTACAAAGTTTATCTGCTGGGACCTGTGTTGATACTTGAACAAGGTCGCTATCAGGATCTGTATAGGACACTATCTCCTTTGTTTTGTTTTTTTTCGTTATTTTTCTTAGATTATCCATAATAGAACAGTTTTATGTCGAAAGCCGTAGCAGGACATTATTTCCAAGTCACTTAAAGCATTTGAAACGTCCATCATCAGAGCGGATCGCCCTGATGACGCAAAGCTACTACCTACAAGACAGCCATTTTTCAAAATACAACAAAATTATTTCAGAATTAAAGTGGTTTTGTTAAGATTATTTTATTGTAACTGGGGAAAACAGCTTTGTAAGGACGTAAATATTTTTTAACTTTGTGGCTGTGACTGGTGAACCGTTTGAATTTGTGATAAATTTAATCTGTATTAATAATTTGTAAGAAGGATTTATTTTAAGCTTTTAAAAGTACGGAATTATCTGTCCTGGATTTCGGAATTGTTCTCATACGTACCTATGTACGTCGATGTTAAGGACGGTAAATATAACTTATTAAGTTCATTTCTACGTCTGAACGCACGCTAACAGTTGTCTCAAAAGTACGCCACCCGGAGTTTAAACAAACTTCGATACTTCTCCGGCTGTGTTTAGGGAAATATCGGTTTGTGGTGGCAGCACTGTATTCATGTCGCTCCAAGTTAGTGGTTTGATAGTTTGACGTAGTTTCTTCGTATGTTTCTATTTAATAGGTCGTTTTAACAAGAATCAAGCCGTTTATTATTGAACATTATTTCCGAATTGAGTCGTGTGAAGCAGGTAAACTGACATATCAGGCGCATTTCTTATAATGGCGCCCTGCCAAATTAAAGTCTCCCATATTTTTTGACGTGTTAGTCAACATCTTGGCAATGTTTCTGCGAATGTGTTGAAACTGGTTGAGGTATCTCTTTAACAGAGTAGAGTGAACACTTTCAAAATATGTTGTAATACGTAATTATAATCTTGTACGTGTTATATAACATGACTTTTGT